TGGGCTAATACTGCTAAGGAGATTTGGGATGGAGTGACTGAAACCTACTCTCATAAACAAAATGAAGCCAAAGCCTATCAGTTAAGGAATCAAGTGATAAGTATGAAACAAGGAGAAAAACCTCTTGTTGTGTATTTCTTCATGCTGAAAACCCTATAGCAGGAAATAAATCACTTAGAAACTGTGGTATGGGAAAGTGTAAATGATGCAGCAACCTATCACAAACTAGTAGAGAGGAATAGGGTTTTTCAATTCTTGGCAAGGCTGAACCCTGAATTCGACATTGCTAGGCAGCATATTCTTTCTAGGGAGGGTGTGACACTCTCTCAAGCCTATGCCTTTGTTTCTGGAGATGAGAGTAAGAGGATGTAATGCTGAGATAGCCTAGGATCAACCAGTCGGCTATGGCTGGTACAACAAAACCTAAGCCGAATGGAGACATGGGGAGTAGTGAAACTAGAAGGGAAGATAAGGACTTGGTGTGTGATTATTGCAAGAAGCCTACGCATACTAAGGACACTTGCTGGAAGCTTCATCCAAATCCTATGCCTGCCCGGATAAGGAACAAAAAGGGAAATGCAAATGTAGCCACTACAGGAGACTCTTCAATCCCTCTTTCCCAAACTAATTGGGAATCCATTGCAGTAGCAGCAGTGAGGACGGAATTGGAGAGGTTTGGACAACTTATGAGTAAGAAAGATTCACCTAGCACTAGCCTTCCAGATAGACAACAGAATGCAGGAGCCAACTACACCTCTTCCTTTGCACATACAGGTAGTTCATATGCAACTGCAAATCTTGCATCCACTTCAGGTAACGAGGGACCTCCCTGGATTATAGACTCAAGAGCATCTGAGCACATGACTAATGCCCCTACCCTTTCAGTTCCTATCAGTTGTGTTCTGGTAGAGACAGAGTCTCTACGGGAGATGGTTCACATATTCCCATTGCTGGGAAAGGGACAGTTAGAGCGACCAATGATATAACTCTGTCTTCTATTTTACATGTCCCTAAACTTCATACCAACCTACTGTCTGTTAGTTCTTTGACAAAGAATTTGAATTATTCCGTGACCTTGCTTCTTGGTAATTGTGTTTTGCAGGATCTGGAGTCAAAGAAGATGATTGGGAGTGGTCGTGAAGTGAATAGAGTCTACCTTCTGGATGAGATTCTAAGACATCAGGGCCATCATGTTAGCAGTAGCAGTAATAGTGGGTTAGAGTCCGTGAACCAGATTATGCTCTGGCACAATCGCTTGGGACACCTCTCTTTTAGTTCTTTGAAATGTCTTTTCCCAAAGTTGTTTGAGAGTTGTCAATTAGGAAAGCATTGTAGACAGTCTTTTAAACCAAGTAATAAAAAAAGTACTTTTGCTTTTAATATTGTTCACACTGATGTATGGGGGCCATATCATATCCCTTCCATGGGAGGATTCTGTTATTTTCTCTTGCTTGTGGATGATTATACACGACATTCTTGGATATATTTGATGAGATCACATGATGAGGTTCCTAACTTGGTACAACAATTCCACCAGATGGTTCTCACACAATTTGGAGTGAGAACTAAGGTTTTTAGATCAGATAATGCCAGAGTACTTTGAGAAGGACCTCACCACGTATCTCCTAGAACATGGGGTAATTCATCAGAGCAGTTGTGCATATACGCCACAACAGAATGGAGTTGCTGAGAGAAAAAACACACATTGTGAAGGTGGCAAGGAGTCTTATGGTGTGTGCTTCAATTCCTATGCAGTTCTTACAGCCGTGCATTTGATTGTGTCCCTTCACGGACTTTGGAGTTTAAGGTGTCATTTAGTTTGCTTTTTCCAGATTGGGAGATATTTCATATACCTCTAAGCGTTTTGGTTGTGTTTCCTTAGTTCACTCTTGGCCATCATCGCAAGAAATTGGATCCTAAGGCCAAGAAATGTGTTTTTCTTGGGTATGCTCAGAACCAAAAGGGGTATTGTTGTTATGGCCCAGTGTCGAGGAGCAGATTTGTCACAATGGATGTTACCTTCTTTGAATCCACCTTCTTCTCGAGTGATTGTCCTCTGGGGGAGAGTTTTGGGGAGAACTCACAATATGTTCCTCTTCCTGTTTCTTTGGTGCCTTCATCAGTTCAGCCAGCACCTGCACCTCCAGTTTCATTTCCTGAGCCACTACGGGCAGCCTCACAGAAATATCAGCGCTAGCAAATGATGGTTGACTCCACACATCCTCAACCCACACCACTCTCTATCAGTCCTTCTGAAACTCCAGATTCGGCAGATACAGTTCCAGGTATCCCTCTTGAGCCTGAGCCTGTTATATTTTCTTATGATAATGTTCATGTCCCTAACACCATTGTTGCAACTGATCCCACTGATCTTGATCTTCCCATTGCACTTCGTAAGGGGAAGAGAAAGTGTACAGCCCATTGCAATTCACACCATCTTTCCTACAGTGCCTTATCACCCTCCTACCGTGCTTTTCTTTCTTCCCTGGATTTTATGTCTATACCCAAGAATGTTACTGAGGCTCTCTCCAAACCTGAGTGGAAAACAGCCATGCAAGATGAGATGGATGCTTTGGTTAAAAACCAAACTTGGGAAATAATTTATCTCCCCCCAGACAAGGAGACAATCGGATGTAGATGGGTATTCACAGTGAAGTATAGGGTTGATGGCAAGATGGAGAGATACAAGGCAAGGTTGGTAGCAAAAGGGTATACTCAGACCTATGGTGTTGATTATCTGTAAACCTTTGCACTAGTAGCTAAGATGAGTTCAATTCGTATCCTTCTATCTCTAGCAGCCACATATTCATGGCCTTTGTTCCAGCTTGATGTCAAAAATGCCTTCCTCAATGGTGATTTACAGGAGGAGGTATATATGGACATTCCAGCAGGCTTTTATGAGAATGTTGGTAAGGGTAAGGTGTGTAAACTCGGAAAATCTCTGTATGGAATGAAACAGTCACCTAGGGCTTGATTTGACAGGTTCAGAGGGGCACTCATCCGTTTTGGATACACACAGACACAGTCTGATCACACTCTCTTTGTGAAGAGGAGAGATGCTCTGGTGTCAATGTTGATTGTGTATGTAGATGATATAGTGGTGACAGGAAATGATCTGGAGGAGATTGATGATCTCAAAAAATCATTGCAACAAGAATTTGAKATCAAAGATCTTGGTGAGCTCAAATACTTCTTGGGGATTGAAGTTGCAAGATCCAAGCATGGGATCTTCATTTCACAGAGGAAGTATGTACTTGACCTATTGCGAGAGACTGGGAAGCTGGGGACCAAACCAGCAGACACTCCTATTGATCCAAATCACTGAATTAATGGTGTGGATGGTGARTTGGTAAAGGATGTGGGGAGATATCAAAGAATGGTGGGTCGATTGTTGTATTTGTGTATGACACAACCAGATATTTCTTATGTTGCCAGTGTTGTGAGTCAGCACATGCATGCACCTCGGGTTCAGCACTGGGAAGCTATTGAGAGGATACTTGAATATCTGAAAAAGCACCCTAGTAGAGGCATTCTTTTCTCAAATCATGAAAATCTAAAGCTAGAGTCCTATACAAATGCAGACTGGGCAGGATGCTTAGATGACAGGAGGTCTACATCAGGAGTGTGTACCTTTGTAGGTGGAAACTTGATCTCCTGTAAGAGTAAGAAGCAAGCGGTTGTGGCAAGGTCAAGTGCAGAGGCTGAGTATAGATCCATGGCACATGGTGTCACAGAACTTCTTTGTATTAGATCTCTTCTGAGTGAGATTGGGTGAAAGCAGAGGAACCTATGATGTTATACTATGACAATCAGGCTGCAATCAATATTGCCCACAATCCAATTCAGCATGATAGGACAAAACACATTGAAGTTGATAGACACTTTATAAGAGAAAGGGTAACAACCGGAGAAGCCTGTTTGCCTTATGTCTCTTCAGAGTTGCAATTGGCTGATGTTCTCACTAAAGAGGTGGCAAAGAACAAGCTTGAATATGATCTACGCAAGTCGGGAATGTGTAACATTTACTCCCAACTTGAGGGGGAGTGTTGAAAATTAATCAATTTTATGATATTTTTATGAGTAGATGTTTTATGTTAGTTGTTAGATAGGAGGTGGGGACCACGGTAGTTATGTGAGTCCAAATTTTATTATGTTTTCGTGTCTCGCATATGTTGTTTTGTGTCTTGTCGCCCTATAAGGGCATAATTGTCTTTGTAATGCTCTATTATTTTTAGTATAAATAATAAGTGAAGGGAGCGGCCAGATTATTGCTCTCCTTTCTTTTCAACTTCTCTTCTTCTCTTCTTCTCCTTCTCTCTTCCTTCTTTCTTCAAGAAACTCCTTTTATTTCATATTTTATAATTCAGCAAGCTTTCTACTTATATCATGATTAAATTGGACCGAAAACTACTTTCAGACTTAAACCTATGACTCTTTTAGTAAATAGACAACATTCAATTTCAAACCAACTTTACCAATAGATATAATATAAATTTTATGTAGATACGAGCATATATATTTAACTATTACTAGATTTGACAGAAATCTGAATCCAAATTTGATCGAATTATATATAGAGAGAACTCAGTTCACCCTTAATAGGATAGAATCATAGAATCGAATTAGAATTTGGACAAATTGATACAATTTGCGGCCCTAATAAGCCCATACCTAAAACTGGATCAACGATTTGTTCCATATCAGGATCCCATGACTCAAAACACAAAACCCACATCCATAATCCATTACCAGCCAATCCATAAATATTGAAAACATAATAAACAATTATTACATCTTTCCATGAGCCTTGCCAAAACCAATGCTTAAAAGTACGAAGTGCAAGCATACATGTGTGAATAAGTGCTAGATGCTCAATACAAACTATATACCCTAAAAAGGTTTACCAAGGCACGAGGATACTAATTCAACAGGTACTTGAATATTCAATGCATATTTAACCTTGAATTTAGAGAAGGTATGATGCACAAAAGAAAAATTACCAGTCTGTACGTGCCAGGCTTAACCACTCTACCCACATCAATGAAATCAAAAAGCAACTGCAATGGACCAAGAGAAAAGCATCAGTCAAATTGAGCCAAGAGAAGATGCAATGAAGCTTCTAACTGGAAAATTTCCACTCATAACCATCTCAAAGAAGTGGTGACCACCCACCATCTCAAAGCAAAGTAATTAACACAACTGATAGAACTAAAATGCACCACTCTCTTCAGTCTTTAAGCCACTTCTTTTATCAGAAAGATGCAAAAGATGTAGAAAAAAACTATAAAACTGAAGATACTTTGGCTCATCGTAAACTCATTGAAGTGTTCTTTGTCATCTCCAGAAATTAGCATCAGTAGAGTACCAACATTTTTTTCTATTTTTATGAATATTTTTTTCTTTTTTGGGAACAGGCAGACACAATTTCCTTTCTTGAACATATGCAAAAGCATACAAATGCTACAATATACCTGCAGGTTGTCAGACTTCAGAAAACGACGACCACGACGACTTCCATCTGGCATCCGGACAAGAAGAGTCACAGCATTCTCATCATCTGAAGGAGGTTCTTGAGGAAGAGAAGCTTCTTTGGCAGCTATAAGTCTCTCAAATTCCTATTATTCATGACAGGCATGGTCAAACACTACTTAAACCAGACAAAAAAAATATAAACTAGTTCATTTCCCTTCCAAAGAGGAGCTCTCTTTCCTTTCAAGAAGGCACTATCACACTAGGTACAATTTCGTAACCAATATCAACAAATGGAAATTAGAAGTTAAGATTATCTAAATCGTTGAAGACAAAAACAAGATGCAACTACAATCACAATGTGAGTGGCAAACCATATCTTAGGCACCAGAGAGTGATTGAGAAGTTTAGAAAAATTTTAAGTAATATAACCATCGGAAATTTAAGCAATATAGGCAACTATAAAGTACAAATTTGGCCAGTAAGCATTCCAAAACCAAAATTCTTAACTGCACAGAACTGCAAGCTTGTCATCACTCAACATGCCCTAAAGTAAGAAAATATTTAAAATTTTGAATATAGGAACTAGTTTGCCCTTCTCTTCCTACATAGTTTGCTTGGTGCTTTCCGATTTCAGCAAAGCATCTTCATCTTTTAGAGGAGTGGCAAGTTGCAAATATGACTAGGAAAGGGAAAGTCTGCTGGTTGGCTGTCCCAGCTGTGGTTACATGGGCTATATGCCTATATGGTATGGAAGGAACACCAGAATTTTTTAGGAGAAATCATCAAGAGAATCAGGGGTGATTAATCTTGAAGTAGAAGTTTTAAAAAGTTGACTATCTGGACACAATGTATTTAAGGATGATATATTCTCTGCTTCTTTTTTGGGGGTGGATTTATTTGGGGGTCCTTAAAAGGCATATACATGTACAACATCTTGCTGTACAGGACCATACTTTTGAAATATAATACATTATACTCCTTTCAAAGGAAACAAAAATGATGTAATTTTAAGAAGTACAATCATACAATGACCCAAGACAACCAAATAACAAAGGAGACACTCGATACCCAAAAATGAGAACATTATACGAGAAGATATACAGAACATCATCATGTTTTTGAAAAAGATGAGGTCTTGTTGTATTAATGATCAAAAATGTATATGACACCCTCTGTACAAAGAGATTCCGTGTTATGGGCCCGAGCGTAAGATCGCGTCACGGGTCGTTCCACGGCAGGAACCCCTGATCTTCCCTTGCCTTTGGCCTTGCGCACAGACCCTATTTTGCYTATCTAGTGGGTGATTTRTCCAAGAGACCACCCGAACTCTCCCTTGGGGTGATTTGTCCAAGAGACCACCCAAACTCTCCTCACTCTTTTCTTGGCTGGAAAACTGAATAATGTTTTAT